CTATTAACTTTACATTTTTTGCATTTAAAAGTAATTTTTTGATGAATTGTAATGATTATGACCTTTTTATGCTTAAACTTTTAATGTTAAAGTGACAGTTTTGTTCTAATATTGTAATTGCATGGTAAAATGCATGCATGTGTGTGTTTGTGCATGCATGTGTGTGTTTGTGCATGCATGTGTGTGTTTGTGCATGCATGTGTGTGTGTTTGTGTGTGTGTAAGGGAGTCTGAAGGCTTGTTTTTCTGTCAGAGCTGTGAAATGGTCAACATCTCTGAGCCTCGGGCCGTCTCTGTCAGCAGCACTAAATATCTGCTCTCACAGAGTCCCTGCAGACACACACACACACACACACACACACACACACACACACACACACACACACACACACACACACACACGGCTCTACTGAGAGACACTTCTGCTGCCTGTCTGGAAGACTATTGCTTCACACACACACACACACACACACACACACACACACACACACACACACACACACACACAGAGACACATACACCCACATGCACATTGCAGTCAAACACACACATGAACTTAAACGAACACAAATACTCAAACACACACATACACTCAAAACATACACACATACACACTCACATGCACACAAAACCCAAACACACACTTACTTATTTACACACACACACATACAATATAAACTCAAATACACACATACACTCACACACGCAGGTCGTCACAGCAGAATGAACCGGCAAATATTCCAGCAAATGTTTTATGCAGCGGATGCTCTTCCAGATGCAACCCAGTACTGGGAAGCATCCATACACACTCAATGACACACACCCACTCATACACTACGGCCAGTTTAGTTCATCAATCCCTCTATAGCGCATGTGTTTGGACTGTGGGGGAAACCGGAGCACCCGGAGGAAACCCACGCCAACACGGGGAGAACATGCAAACTTCACACAGAAACACCAACTGACCCAGCCGAGACTCAAACCAGCAACCTTCTTGCTGTGAGGCCACAGTGCTAACCACTGAGCCAACATGCCCACATGAACAAACACAGCACCGTCCTCGTTTAACATGTCAGGAGCAGGAGATTATCACAGTAAACATCTGGACAGCGAAGTGTAAACTCCAGCACACATCCGTCCGTCAGAGCAGAGAATATGAGCGCAGTCATCACCGCTCCTCTGCTCTCCCTCATTCTGTGTGTGGTTTGGCTCCCCTGACTCTCGGTGGGCCCCGTGGTGTTAATTATCCAGCGTTCTCTCTCCGTCTCTCTGCAGTGGAAGTGCATTAATCTTGATTGGCTCCTTCAGTGTATTTGAAGAGTCTGCTTCAGTGAAGGCCCAGCAGCTTTCCAGCGCATGTGTATCTGCTCCGTTCACGTCACATTCACTCGCGCAGGACACTTAAAGGTCAGCACGCGCTGCTAGTGTGCGCACATACACCCCAAACCAGCATCTGAAGTCAGTTTCAGGTGGACTTCCAGCACTGTTGGTTGAATCATGGAGTGGCGTGTGACATGATGAAGTGGTGTCCGAGTCAATTCTGCCGCAGCTTTAATGATGCATGTGAAGGCAGCTGCATGAGTCCCCACAGCATGACTTCTCCACATCAGTGTTAATGACAACCCGGGCTCCTTGTGGAAATGTAGCCCCGCGGACGTTTCTGCAGACCGCGATTTACGTCCCGGGAGGTACGTATTCAAGCGGTTTTTGTTTTCGCGGATCCGCGAGAGGCCGCTGTGCGCGCTTTTTGTTGTCTCGGGCGCCTCTCGGGATCGCGCGCCGTTTGCGCCCGCGCCGTTCTCGCGCAAAAAGCTGCCGGATTGGCCGACTCGGCCGCCCTCCTCTTACTCCTCTTCCCCCTCCTTCCCTAAACCCGAGTGACGGTTCGCAAAAGCTGTCCAGAAAAAAAAAAAAAAGCAAAAGCCCTCGTCTTTGATTTCGACCGAGTTTTTAGGATCCCGCCGCGTTCTCGCACTTATTTTTCGGATTCCGTTTTTCGTCTTACCTGATTTCTGGAACCGCTGTTCCCTGGACTCGATCCCGGTCGTCGTCCCCGCGGCCGGCTCCTCCTCCTCCTCCGGGGCCTCCGCTCCGCCGACGCAACGCTGTGAGATAAGCGGACAAACTGGTTGCATCGGGAAAGCCCTCCACTCAGAGGCGAGCCGTCGGCCGGCGAGCGCGAAGAGGAGGGGCGGAGCGGCGCCACACCGCCCCGCAGCGTTCGCTCTAAAAAAACTAAACGTGGCCTTACGTACCTCCGGCCACGTAAATCGCTGTCTCCAGAAACGTCCGCGGGGCTACGTTTCCAGAATGAGCTTGGGTTGGTTAATGAGCAGCACAGCTTCATCAGGACCAGCACATCTCCTTGAGGAACACCCCACCGCTCTTAATGAAATTAAAATCAGCTGTTTTAGATGTCAGCATCAGTATTGTTGATCTTTAGGATAACTAAACAGTGACAATATTAGTGTTTAGGAGAAATAAACCTGATAAAAACATGTAAAGCTTGCGGTTTGTCTTTTACACCTGTATCAACAGTTTTAATCACGTCTCCTCATACTTTAGTTCCTCATTAAATTTTTGGCCAATCGAATGCTGTCTAGTGTCTGACATGCCCCGCCTCCTTTAAAATGCTTCTCATTTGCTGTTCATTTGATGCTCTTGAGCTCAATCACTCTTAGGCCGTACTCACACTATGTACAGTTGCCTTGAACCGGGCCAAAGCACGCTTGTTCCCCTTCCCATCTCCCCCGACAGCCCGCACTTACATTATATTTGGGCCCGGGCTTCCGTCATCGATGCTGCGCTGTTCAGTAAGCGCTCCCGCTCAGCACAGTGGAGATTTCTTTAGTTATATCGTTTAAGTTGTTTGATAAACAGTGACACAGTCAAATATTTCAAACAGATCAGCCACTTTTGAAGCTTATAAACAATCATAAAGTCCTGCTGCTGCAGGAATGAGGAGGTCTGCTGAAGGTGCAGCTGTGGTGCAGTGAGGGGTTTGCGTATTTAATAATCTACGGCAGTTTGTGTTCACTGAACAGTTAAAATGGTTAATTAATCCATAAAACAGTCACGTCTCGTCTTTAGTTTCAGGCTTAGGTGCGTTTTGCACTCACACAAAGCCCAAGTGACCAGGGCCGGCCATGTGAACCGTGCCTGAGCCAGATTCAGAGCACTCACACTTCTCAAACGATCAGGGAAACGGGCCTGGGCACGGTTTAGATAGGATAGTGTGAGTAGGCCCTTATTGGCAGAGCTGAGTGGAAACACAATGCTGTCGGCTGTTTTGTAATTTTTTAATTTTTTTAAAGCAATAACCTTAAGACTAAACTTTAACACTAAATCTATTGGTCACAATGCATTTACACTAACTCAAATTAAATGTAAAAAAATAACAATAAATAAAAACCTATTTAGATAATTGGAGATGTGTATACAGTTAAAGTCAGAATTATTCGCCCCTGTTTGACTTTTTTTTTTTTTTTTTTGAATATTTCCTAAATGGTGTTTAACAGAGCAAGGAAATCTTCACAGTGTTTCCTCTAATATTTTTGTTCTTCTGGAGGAAGTCTTACTTGTTTTATTTCAGCTAGCATAAAAGCAGTTTTTAATTTTTTAAACACTATTTTAAGGTCAATGTTATTCGCCCCTTTAAGCTCTTTTTTTTTCGATAGTCTACAGAACAAAACATCATTATACAATAACTCGCCTAATTACCCTAACCTGCCTAGTTAACCTAATTACCCTGGTGAGGCCTTTACATGTCACTTTAAGCTGTACACTAGTGTCTTGAAGAATATCTAGTCTAATATTATTTACTGTCATCATGACAAAGAGAAAATAAATCAGTTATTAGAGATGAGTTATTAACACTATTATGATTAGAAATGTGTTGAAATAATCTGCTCTCCGTTAAACAGTAATTAGGGAAAAAATAAACAGGGGGCGAATAATTCTGACTTCAGCTGTATGTTTATATCTCCAAATTCATATAAACATTGTCAAAAATAACACATGCTGTGACAATAAATCTTTTTACTTTTTTGATTCAGTTTCCTTTGTTTATTTATTTCTTTATTCTTTACTCTAGCACTGTTTCAGAAATTAATTATACATTTTCTTTCTTTCTTTCTTTCTTTCTTTCTTTCTTTCTTTCTTTCTTTCTTTCTTTCTTTCTTTCTTTCTTCGTTCCCTTCTTTACTCCTTCACTGTGTTTGTTTCAGAAATGATATGTACATTTGCTTCATTGTTTACTCTCCATCTGCTCCCGCATGTCTCTCTGATTAAAACTCAATGTTTTCCTGCTTTAATACATTGATAAAGACCCAGATTACCTAAAGTTATTTCATTTAAATCTTACAGTTTAATCCAAGTCTTCTGATGAGTTATAAGTAGGGCCAGAAGGAATCTGCGGACATTCTTTGCTATTTCTGCTGAGAATTTTGGTAAAAATCTGCCGATTTCTGCTGAATTATTTTGGGAGTATCATAACTAAAACCTTAATATATGAAATAAAAAAATAATATCAGTTTAACTTTTATTTAATGTTTAAAATGCAAATCCTATTAGATTCACTTGATTTGGTAAATCTAAAAATCTAGTAAAAGACAGAAAGTATGACTTTACAAACTGCATTGTGCATAAATCAGATGAACATTTTCACATTAGTCAATAATACTGAAATTAATCATAAGAAACTGAATAAATATAGATTTACACACATTTACTCAAGCAAATAAACAGAATTAATGATGGGCAGAAAATCTGCAGAATTGTGCACGTGCAGATTCCAGGTGGGCCTAGTTATAAGTGTTTTATGCCGTCATAAACAGTCAAACACTGATCACTGCACACATATGTAGAGCTCAGATGGTAAAGGAGAGATCGAATCTGATATTTACAGTAAATTGAGTGTTTATAATTGAGCAGTTGTTTGTATTTAGACTAATCATAATCTCTCTCTCTCTCTCTCTCTCTCCCTCTCTCTGTGTGTTTCAGCCTAATGAACTGACGCTCAGTGAGAGACTCAGCAAAATCATGGCTGTCGTAAGGGATCAAACACACACACACACACACACACACACACACACACACACGGACACCAGAAACATCCCTTTTTCATGAGGATGAAGATAAACCGTGATGCTGAAACACTCATCTTTCATCAAAGTTCTGGGGGACTTTTCTAAGTAATTATTAATGCATCACTTTAAAATTTTAAGTTATAATATTTTAGTGACTTTAAAAAAGGTGATGTAAATTACTTTATAGTTTAATTAATTGGCTTTTAAATAAATGTTGCTGGACCCTGCACTGGATGAGAGAATGCTGGAATGGGCAGAACACATGGATGAAAAGGAAAAGGGGATTATAGTGTCATGGATGTGTCTGTGTGTGTGCATGTGTGTGTGTGTGTGTGATGTGTATCAATCATTGTGTGCAAATAAAATCAGCAAAACACCAAACCCAGGGCCCGGTTTTTCAAAAGGTTTCATCCGGATAAAATCGGATTTAGTAATCCTGTTTTTGCGATCCGTGATCACGGAATCCTGCTTACTTTTTGGGCCCGTTTTTCAAAGCAACATCGAATTAGATCAATCAGATCCGGATAGGAACTTTTCAGGTTCACTAAATCTGGATAACCAGTGCTCCAACAGGATTGGAAATCACAATGTAGAACTAAAGATAAGTAAAGAATAAGCCAGTGTGGGGTCAATATAAGTTTATTTTTCCACATTTTCATTACATTTTGGGCATTAAGTCCAAAATTCCAGTGGATTACTTTTGAAAAACCGGGCCCTGGAGCCAGACGAGCAGCTCCACACACCGCTCCAGTTCCACACTCTCCGTCTGTATTCAGCAGGTACTTTTAATTGTGGGTTTTCTGTCGTCTGAAATGTGCCAAAGTATTTGGAGGCCTTATTGTAGACATCGCTGTGCCTGACTGTTATTGCGTATGTAAATTAAAAGATCTCATTCTTAAAGCTTTGCAGGAGTCTCTGATGATCATTGGATGTTTTGTTGGTCTTTGAATGAGAATTCCCAATTATAATTATTAAATAATAAGTGGAATATTCAGAGCCAAAATGAAAGTCATAAACATATTACATTATATTATATTATATTATATTATATTATATTATATTATATTATATTATATTATATTATTTTATATTATATTATATTATATTATTTTATATTATATTTTATTAGATTATATTTTATTATATTATATTATTTTATATTATATTTTATTATATTATATTATTTTATATTATATTATATTTTATTATATTATATTTTATTATATTAAATTATATTATATTTTATTATATTATATTATATTATAATATATTATATTATTTTATTTTATATTATAATAATTATATAATATTTTATGATATTATATTATAATAAATATATTATTTTATTTTATATAATATTATTTATATTATTTTAATTATATTGTATTATATTATGTTATGTTAAATTAATTATTTTATACGTATTATATATTAATTATATTATATTAAGTTAATTATATTATACAGGATTATATTATTGCTATACATTTTATATACTGTATAATTTCATGAAATAACCATAAAAACAATGAGTACATGTGTTTCTCACATGCATATATTCTCATTTAAATTGGTAGTTTTACTCTATAAAGGTATAAATCAATAAATAAAATATTAGACATGTATCAGAATATTACTTAAACTAATATGGGAAGTAATGCTTATGAAGAAATATTAATTATCACATAATATTAATTATAATATGATAATTATAAATTAAAAATCTACTTATAATGTAATCAAAAATAAAATTAATAATAAATAATTATTAATATGATTTTAAATGACATTATAATTATTTATATTGATGATTAGATACAGTTATAATTTTTTAATTACATTAATAATTGTATTAACTTCCCATCAAAATAATTTATATACAGTATATTCTGTATATCTTTAATTTTTAGATTTATACTATACTATACAAATCTTTATAATATAATGATTTCTGATGACTGGAAAATTCTAGATTGGTTACTTTTCTATGTATTTACACAGAAATTATTTAATATTGCAGCCTATAACATATGAGGCTTTCCAACTTGCCGGAAAGAACATATAAAGGATATATATGCATATATTTAAAGAAAAGCAGGGTTATTCCACCAAATATTGATTTCTTTTACAAGCTTGTGTATGTGTATGTGTGTGTGTGTGTGTGTCTTCTGCTCTCCAAGGTTACACGTATATGATTAAAATACATGAAAAGCAGTAATAATGTAAAGTATTATTATAATTTACACACACGGTACAGCACATTTCCTCATATATAGACATCTCCATGAAATCAGATGGCGGATTAGTGCAGATTTCCATGTTTCTGTAATGCCTTTACCTTCCAGCCGGGGCAAAAGTCACAGGATTAAAGAGAAAGAAAAGCCCTTCTTCAAATATTTCTGTGTTTGTTAATCTTGCCTGCGAGAAACGTCAGCAGATATTATTTATAATGTCTGCTGCTGGTCAAGGACAGAATAAAGGCTTTTCTTATCAGCTGCTGAAATATTCAACTGTATTAATAATAAAAGTTTCAGAGTCATCAGATCGACTCCACAAGCAAATCTCCAGAGTTTCACTCCTATTTTCCCTGTTTTTGACAATCAGTTTACAGAAAAAAGGCCTGAAGCTACTTTGCGTTCTGCAACATTTTGAGGGCAACAATTTTAAGAAAAATGCAATTTCTTCCTCATTATTATGTGAATATTATAATCTTTACAGTGCACTGCAAAATGTGCTGTTATTTGTGTCTTGTTTCTAGTCCAAACATCTAAATATTCTTAATTTAGACAGCATTTTCTAGACTAGTAATGTGTTTCAGAAAAACATAAGTCATTACATCTGCCAATGGGGTCAATAAAGTCATGTTGTTTTTATTCTTGATTCATAATCTTACAGTAATATAACATGGGTGCATAGATGGAGTCGTGGAGAGATGGACATATGGATGTATGGATAGATATAAATATGGATGGATGGATCAATAGAAAGAAGGATGATTGGAAAAATAAATGAAAACATGGATGGATTGATCGAAATATGGATGGGTAGAAAAACGATTGCTAGAAAGATGGATATATGTATGGATGTATGGATCTAAAAAAGAAGGATGGATGGAAAGACCGATGGATTGATTAATGGGAAGATCAATGGAAAGAAGGATGGATTGATAGAAATATGAATAGATGGATGAGTGATGGATGGATGGAGTGGTGGATGAAGGGACTAGTGGGTGGATGGATAGATGTTGGAAAGTTGGATGGATGGATTGATAAACATGGACGGGTGTAAAGAAGAATGGAGTGATGATGGCTGAAATGGTGGATTAATAGATGGATGGAGGGAATGGTGGATGGGTTGGTGGATGGATTGATAAAAATATGGATAGGTGGATTAATTGATAGAAAGATGGATAGATGTATGGACGGATGGATCAATAAAAAGGATAGATTAAAAGATGGATGTATGCATCTATAGAAAAGGATGGATGGAAAGATGGATAGAAAGATGGACGGGTAATGGAAAGATGGATGGATTGGTAGAAATCTTGATGATAGATGGATTGATAGAAAGATGGATAGATGGATGGATGGATCAATAGAAAGAAGGATGGATGAAAAGATGGATGGATGGATAAAGTCTGATGGATTAATGTATGGATCTAAAGAAAGAAGGATGGATGGATGGACTAGAAAAAAGGATTGATGGATGGATGGATGATGGATATATGGATGGATGGAATAATAGATGAATAGATGGATGAAAAGAGAATAGTGGGTGGATGGATTGGAACTGGGAGAAATATAGATGGATGGATGGATGAAAAGAAGGATGGATTGCTAGAAATATGGATAGATAGAAGATGGATATTTGGATGGATAGATGGAATGGTGGATGAATAGATGGACTGAGGGATTAGTGGGTGGATGAATAGATGGTGGAATTATAGATAGATGGATGGATAGATGGATCAATAGAAAGAAGGATGGATGGATGTATGGATCTTAAAAAAGAAGGATGGACAGAAAGACTGATGGATGGATAGATGGATGGAAAGACCAATAGAAAGAAGGATGGATTGATTTAATATGGATGAATAGAAAGATGGATGGATGGATGATGGAAAGGTGGATGAATAGATGGATGAAGGGAATAGTGAGTGGATTAATGGATGGTAGAACAATGGATGGACATAGTAATATGGATAGACGGATTGATCAATAGAAAGACGGATAGATGAACAGACTTATGGATGGATGTAGAGACCTATGGACCGGATGGATGGATGGAAAAAAGGATGGATGGATGATGGAAAGATATATCTATGGATAAAGAGATGGATGAAGGGAATAGTGGATGGATGGTGGAAAGGTGGATGGATGGATTGATATAAATATGGATGGATGGATGAATAGAAAAAAGCATGGATGGAAAGATAGAAGTATGGATCTATAGAAAGAAGGATGGAGAGATAGATGTATAGATCCAATGGTGGATTAATAAGATGGATGGAGGGAATAGTGCGTGGATAGATTGATAGAAATATGGATGGATGATGGAGGGAATGATGGATGATTGGACGGAGGGACAGACAGATGCATAAACTGATAAAGTGTGATGGACAGATGATGATGATGATGATGATGCACAGTCAGTGTATTCTGCGCTCTGATTGGCTGCAGGCGCTTGTGCTTCTGCTGTCTTCAGTTGGTGTTTCAGCTCCTGATGCTCATTAATTGAGCGTTTGCTTTGATTTCATACAGTAAATCCCTCAGAGGAGATGTGGAGATCCAGCATTCAGCACTCATCAATGACCTGCTGCTTTACTGCATACTGACGAGTATCAGCGGAGTCAGTGTGTGTCTGTGCACAAACAGGAAACAGTGAATGCATGAGTGTGTTGACGACAGGCCGCACGTCATGCATCTGCAAGAGCATAAGAAAATAAAGCAGGAGTAAATCTGACATGCAGCAGCTGTTTATCACTGAACTCCTATCAGTTACTATTCATATTCATATCGGCTGTCCATAAAGCAAGCAGATGCAGATGACGCTTCACTCCTGCTGGATTTCCAGCATTCGGGCCTAATTAAACTGTTCCGGTCCGCGGCGCCGCACACGAGAGGAAAGCACAGGCCATTTCATTTCCTCTGCTGTTTTAGACTGTGATTACAGCTGTTTACAATGAACAACAACAACAACACACAACAGCAGAGGAGTTACCGACTGCACTGAGGTCAGTGTATTACCTGAATTTACATATTCAACCTTTATTTAAATGACACCTGTGATGCCAAACACACCTTTCTAAGGGCTAGTTCATTCAATTTCCTTCAGCTTAGTCCCTTATTTATCAGGGGTCACCACAGAGGAATGAACCGCCAACTATAACAGCATATGTTTTACACAGTCGATTCCCTTCCAGCTGCAACCCATCACTGGGAAACACCCATACACACTCATTCACACACACACACACACTCATGCATGTGTTTGGACTGTGGGGGAAACCCAAACCCTCGGAGGAAACCCACCCCAACATGGGGAGGACATGCAAACTCCACACTGAAACCCCAACTGACCCAGCCGGCGACCCTCTTGCTGTGAGGTGATCGTGCAGCAGCTTTAAATCAAAGAAAGAACTCGAGCTTCTTTGACAGCGAACATACATGTGAATGAATCAAAGCACACACAAGCGCTGAGAGGACGAGGCTGAGCAGACTCTCAGGTGCTGTTGTTGTGCTATAATGTGAAGATAAACGCAGGAGGATGAATTGATAAGGATGCCGGAGGGCAGCGCTCAGCTTTCGGGAGGGAAATCCATCCACAAATGGCCTCAATTTCCACTTTTTAATCTTCTTTTCTCGCTCTGCGGACTATAGATTGATTCCTCTCCTCCATCAATCC